AAGGCAGCCAACTGTGGAAAGTTGGTGCAGCATGCCATTGGCAAGATGGACGAGTGGATCGGCCTGTATGGTGGAAACCTGAGCGGTACGATCGGTAGCCTTGAGTGTCCAGTGGCAGAGTACCAAGAGGCTACGGCCGAGGATGAGATAGAGGATGGAGTGGAGGAGCAGACGGATGAGTGGCTGGGTGAGGACGCGGACGATGCCATTGAGGGCTGAAAAAAAATGCCACAAAAAAAAAGCCAAAAACAAATGCCCTTTTTTGGGCCAATATTTTTCGACTTTGATTCCCGAACAGCGACACGAAGGGGCTGCACAGAAGGCGCCATTCTGAGTGCAAGCTGATATATTGTTTGATATTTCGCAATTGAGATGGCTGTATCATCCTGTTCAATCAATATATGGATCACTTGTGCAAGCCCTGGGGCCGCATCGTTGGAACACCGCGCTTCAATATTTATTTGGAACTTCGCCGGATACGATCACACACTAATTTCGTAATATTACTCGAAGACATGGTGAATTTTTGTTATATTTTTTTGAAAGAGAGCTCTGTGCTTTGTCGTCAATTTGCGCTATAGTTTGTGATAGGGGACTCCGTATTGACGAAGTTACACAATATTCCAATTTGGTCTTGACTACTATAACTATGTTCCACCGTAATAGCTAGGTTGTGACACTCTGCCCTGCGCCTGTTGTTAACTGTTGTTGCTGAGAATTGAAAACAGCAGGCCGGGTGGAAAGGATATTTCTGAATGTGTTGTCCTCTGTGCCGGATGCTGCTCATTGCGCTTGCTTGTTGTACCGCTGCTCTATGGTGAGCAACACCAAGTCAACCTGTTGTGTGCCGAGCAACGCGTGTATTCAGGGTCACAAAATGTGGCGTCCTGCAGCAGCGGAGGTGGCGGTGCTGCTGTAGCTCGTAGACTTTGTAGTCTACCACAGAGGTTACACTGCTGTCACCGCTCTATCACAGAGGTTGGTCTACACTGCTGTGAGATCGGTAGGCCCGAGCGAGCTTTGGAAAGAGAAATGTGGATAGATGTTCTCATCAACTGACTCCCTGGTCAGGCTTTGATGGGTGCTAGAAGATGAGAGTGAGCACAAAGGGGCGAAGGCGCANAGCTCGTAGACTTTGTAGTCCACCACAGAGGTTACACTGCTGTCACCGCTGTATCACAAGAGGTTGGTCTACACTGCTGTGAGATCGGTAGGCCCGAGCGAGCTTTGGAAAGAGAAATGTGGATAGATGTTCTCATCAACTGACTCCCTGGTCAGGCTTTGATGGGTGCTAGAAGATGAGAGTGAGCACAAAGGGGCGAAGGCGCACTTGTGTCTCATCTCAACAACAAAAAAAAACAAGAAACAAGCAGCAAAAACACAGCAGGTTCCGAGGGTCTCCGGGGTAATGGCCCCAGTACCGGAATTTCGGGGTTCGGAACAATAAAACAACTACAGTCTCGCCTGCCAAATTATCTCCGCTACAACTCTGTGCTCATGTTCTCTGCTGAGTACCATCTCTTTCTGTGTTATTTCTACGGAAGGCTAGTTGCCGCAGTCGCACCTGTGGTAAACTGTGCCTGACTACGTTGTAACAGTTTTCCCCGACACAGGGAAGGGAACATACTTTTTTTTGCGATGACATCACGAACAGAACAAGCGAAAAAAGTCGGATTTTTCTTTTCATCGTTCGTTCCGTGGAAAATTGCACGACTCTTCCGAAGCGTTAATAACGAGCCTTATTTCTTGTGATTTTCAGCGTGGTACCTTTTTGTCCTCGCTCTTTTTTTTTCATTTCATTTTCTCTTGCTTACCTCTCTGCTTACTTTTATTTTCTTCTGTTTTTCTCTTTTTTTTTTCTGTGCCAGATGCCCTTATCTCTCCTTGCGTTGTGAAGTACCAAGATTGAACCAAGGGGGTGTACGTCTTTCTCTCCGGCCCGTGATGGTGACTCTGAGTCTCAGTTCAGTTGTGATACCTCGCGTAGCGCGCAGAGGGAGTGGAGACTACCGAATATCTGTCGTTGATTTCTATTGACTTGCGGACCCCTCGAGGCCAGTTGATTGAGTGTACCTTTTTAGGGTAAGTTAGCCTGTGACCACGGACGGGAGTCGACCGCGTCGAGTGTTGTTGGATCAGTAGTACGGACGTACGAAGGTACTGGGTAGAGAGAGATCGGAACGGTTTTCAATGTGAAGACAACAAAACAACAACTCCCGCTTTAGCCT